AATCTGCGCGCCGTCGATCTGGTCGAGCATCACGGTCGGCAGCGTGCCCAAAACCTGCAGGGCAAAGTTCTGCGACTTGACGGCATCCACCGTCGAGACCAGCGAGTCGACGACGAGGGACAGACGGTTTGTGTTTTCGACCGTCACGGCGTTGGCCTTGCCGCGGACGATGATGGTCGTGTTGGTGCATTTTGAGATCAGGATCGAGTGCGCGATGCTCGCTTCGATCTCGATTGGCTGGCCTTCTTTTTCAAAGTTTTCCTGCAACCTTGAGTTAATATGACGGAAAAACGGACAGCAACAAAGACATACGATAATCCACTTGTTCCCCTCGAGCTCCTTCTTCGGCGGCTTCTTAACCCGCATGCTCTCAGGCTTGGGCTTCTTGCCCGGTGCCGGGCTCTTTCCGCGCACCGACCCGTCGCGCTCCGGCACCGTCGACGACGCGCGCAGCGACGGGTTCTTGTGCGTCATCTCCGACTTGTCCACCTTTCGGAGGCCCTTGGTCACGGCCTCGCCCTTGTTGAGCTCCGAGAACACGGCGCCGAGACCACCCGCCGGAGCGGCCGACTCGGCCTTGACCTCCTTGATCTGCAGGACCGGAGGGGGGCCCGGCGGAGGCGGGGGCGGCGGTGGACCACCGGCCGATGGGGCGGGAGGCGCTGGTGGGCCCGACAGAGACTTTGCGACTTCCTGCGCCGGTCGTCCTTTGGGATTCCACGGCACGCCGTTAGGGAAGTAATTCTTGACGTAGTCGGTGAGATGGCGGAAGATCTGGTAGTACGCTTGAATCCATTCGACCATTTGCGGATCTCTGCCACCGTTTTAGTATTTCATTTTCGAGATTTTTCCGAGTATGCCACCTACTTGTCCTTGAACTCCTTGAGCACCCGGTTCCCGAAGAACTGGGCAGACCCCAAATATTCTTCGACGTGCTTGTACGGCCGGGCATCGACGGTCACCCACGCCGACACCATGAACCCCTCGGCCACGGCGCTCAGCTGGTTGAAGACGGGACTGCCGCGGTTCGACTCCTTGATGTTGGACACGGCCATGAGCGCCTCGTTGATGGGCTTCAGCAGGTCCTGGTAGACCGACATCTCGGCGCCCGTGAGATCGGGCTTCTTGGACTTGGTCGTGATCAACAGAAACTTGCGCTGCGCCCGGAAGCCCTCGACGACTTTGGCGGCCTAATATTCCGTGTTAGCCATCTCCCCAGACCGTTTTCTCTGGCGTCCTACCTGCTCGGCGATCAGGCCGCCAATGGCGCTGCTCAGCTTGGCATATTTGAGGACGGATTGGTCGATGAAATTGTCAAACTCTTCGATCGACTCGGGCACCGGCTCTGGCGGCGGAGCGGGGGCAGCAGGGGCGGGCGAGGGCGCGGCAGCGGGCGTGGGCACGGCTGAGGTCGCAGCCGATGTTGCGGGCGTGATGGATTGGGCCGAGGCGGCCGTCTGCTGGAGCGCTGGGACGGCCTGGGGGAGCTCGACCACGGACGAGGCGATGTCCTCGAGTCGGGCCGTTGCCGCTTCGAGTCTGTTTTTGGAAGGGTAAGCTTCTGCGAGTAAGTCCAGTGGCGGTTGCGCTGCACGAACCTCTTGATCAGCGTGGTGAAGTTGTGCATATTATTTGTGGCCATGTTGGGCGGTTGGTCTCGGGAGGGTGCCGGCGTGGATGCAGTGCTTGCTAAGGTAGGCCGGAGGCGCTTAGGGGCAAGATTTGTGGATTTTGGCCTGTCTATTATAATCTCGAGAGATACCAGGTATGGTCGGTGTCGTGTTGCGTGGAGTTGAGACGTCGAGGTGTGGATCAGTCCGGCGCGTTCAAACGATTCCGAGCACTTTTCTGACAGCCTGGACGATCCCTGGACATCAACCCGACCCCTGACAGAGCTGAGAGGAGCTTGGACCGCTGTATTCGTGCAGCCGCTGTTCTCTCGCTTTCTCCAGCTTATCCCGTGTTCGAACTGTGTATTCACTCGACCTCAGACTTCCAGTTGTTCATTGTGGTTTATGGATCATGGAAGCCTAGGAAGGATGGTGGACACGGTAGAGATCGCTTCAATGTGGTCCCCTGACTCTGAATGTATAAATTTGGGACGCCTAAATTTGCAGGCACCCGTTTGTACCGCTGGAAGCCGGAGAGAGGAACCTACACATGCATCAATTCTATACAGACATCCTGCATGCAGTCGTCTGAACTTGGATGTTAGACCACTGCCTAGTGTAGACCTAGTCCGTGGCGACGCATTGCTCTTGCAGTCCGCGTCAACCATCAGGCAGCCAGGCCCCGCGCCAAACTGAATTCACTGCAGCACTGCACAAACAGAGATATAAGATCCAGCCAGACCAGGTTCCCGCAACTCGTCGTCGTTCTCCCAATCGAGAAGCTGACCACTCGGAGCTGACGACCTCATTCGCCCTGTTCATGCTCGTGGACCTCTGGGCAGGAACGGGCTGACTGCCTTCCTGTACACGTTCATTTTAGCCCAAGGAAGCAACTCACTGTCGTTCCCCCGATTCCCTGCGGTATCTGTTCCCATCCCCAACAATTTTTCATCACGGTGATCCCGTCGTTGCATTCACAGGTCACAACCACCATGTCGGAGACCGTCACTCGCTCCAGGGCCGGGAGCCAGGCCGCCGTGACCATAGATATGGTCCCGACGGCCCCCGATATCGATTTTGTCACACTCGGCATGTTCATCATCGGTAGGTTATTTTTTAACCCACTGCTGTGTGCGACATGCACCCACTAATACCACGTGCAGATGAGATTGAATACGCCCCTCCCAAGGCTCCGGTCCGAGACATTGTCGGCGGCGCCGGAACCTACTCCGCTCTAGGCGCCCGGCTTTTCTCGCCGCCGCCGCTTTCCCGGTCGGTAGGCTGGATCGTAGACCAAGGCTCCGACTTCCCCCCGGCCATCACCGACCAGTTATCCGCCTGGTCCACTTCCCTCCACTTCCGTCTTGATCCCTCCCGCCTCACCACGCGCGGCTGGAACGGCTACAACACGCCCACTGACCCTTCACTCCGCTCATTCCGCTACACGACACCTAAAAAACGGCTAACCACCGAGGACCTGACCGGAACACCGCTTCTGCACGCGCGGGCAATCCACCTAATCTGCAGCCCGACGCGCTGCCGCGAACTGATCACGACCATCCTGGAGGACCGCAAGGAGGATGCGTACAGACGCGACCCGGACGGGTCCTCCTACACACGCCCCATCTTCATCTGGGAGCCGGTGCCGGACCGGTGCACGCCCGACGAGCTGCTCGCCTGCACCAATGTGCTCCCGCTCGTGGACATCTGCAGCCCGAACCACGCCGAGCTCGCCGGCTTCATGGGGACCGACGGCTTAGATCCCGAGACGGGTGAGATCAGCACGGAGCAGGTCGAGCGGAGCTGCGAGCAGTTGCTGGCGAGCATGCCGCTGCAGAGTTACACGCTTGTCGTGCGCGCCGGGGAGAAGGGGTGTTATGTGGCGAGGAATGGTGGGCGGAAGAGGGTGGCCCCCGCTGGGGGGAAGAAGAAGAAGAAGAAGGAGTATGCCGCCCACGGCGGGCTGCAGCACGATACGGATATGGAGGCGCTGTTTGCGGGTCTGATGCAGGATGACGAGGGGCACGTGGCCAGGGAGGAGATCGAGGTCGATCCCGGGGTGGAGAAGTGGTTTCCTCCGTTTCACCGGGAGGAGACGGAGAAGGTCGTGGATCCCACCGGCGGAGGGAACACATTCCTGGGCGGACTGGCTGTTGCGTTGGCGAGGGGGAAGAATATCGAGGAGGCGTGTGCGTGGGGGACGGTGGCTGCCAGCTTTGCCATTGAGCAGGTGGGCGTACCGACGCTGGGCAAGGACGGGGAGGGGAATGAAGTCTGGAATGGGGTCAGTGTGGAGGAGAGGCTGAAGGAGTATCAGCTTCGTCTTTGATCGAGAGAAATTGGGTCTGCTTGAAGCCGCCCAGGTTAGGAAAGGTCCGGGCGGGATCCTGGCAGCTACGGGTGCTGGTCATTCACCTTGGACGGGGAGGAATACGAGCCTGGCGTACGGCGGGTTATGGGCTGGGGGACTACATCTACTTGGCGGTTGGGACGAGCAATCGTGACGGCGGGTAATCACGGCGGAATGAATAATGGGTCGGCGGTTGTCATGTTCCGACATTCAAAGGACGACGGAGGACGGAGGACGGCCTAGACAGGGGCGGAGTTGTCTTTAGAGGATACGGGTTTGCTTTTAACACGGCTGCTGTTCTACGATTTTACGTAGTTGATAGAATTCTTGTTCTTAATCTGTTCGCCCCTTTTAACGTCCTGGAGTCCATACTCGAATTGGTCATTGGTGATCGTTGCTCGTACCTGGAGCAGGGCTTTCGGAAAAGCTCAAAGCTGTCTCAGAAATGTCACTCCTATTTCAAGAGCAAAAGTCATCCTCCCAAATTGAGCTTGATCTAACGGTCATCAGAGCAGCTGCTGGAAGAACTGGACCTTTTCTTCTATTCTGGGATGATTCTCGGTATTACCAACCCCTAGCAAGCTCACCAAGGAAGAAAAAAAACGGACCATTCATTGGAGACCTAGCTGTTTCAGTACTTTTTGTTTTGTATGCCTGGCCGTAGTAGCTGTCTAAGATACTGGTAGTACCATCCATACGACGACGAAAACGGGAGAGCCTACCAGACAGACTATATTACCGCGGCTATCATCCCTCGAGTAGCATGGGTCCCTCCCATCGAGGTAGTCTCTTGGGGAATTGGTATTCTCATCTCATTTCATCTTCTCGCAGAAAATGAGAAACAACCAAAAAGAAGTGTAGAGAGAGACGAGTAACAAAAATTAGAGACACCTGGCAACCGGATAATACATGATCGCTGCTGCCCTATCCGACCGGTGAGTCCGCTCCGAGACGCCCCAAATAGACGGGGAGAAGAGACGGGGAGAAAAGAGAGAGGGAGAGAGACAGAGAGAGAAGAGAGAGAGCAAAAAGATACACAATGCTCAATAACAGGATTGAACTGTTGATCTTCGCATTTACTACATACAGTATCATGTATATGAAAACTGTATTAGTACGACGCTCTAACCAGCTGAGCTAATCGAGCTGCATGTGTGGTTGATGATGGTAGATGGATGTGGTGTGGTGGTTTTATGGATGATGCTCGGGAAGGATTGGGATACGGTAGGTGAGAGCTGGTTCGAGGTGTAGTGTAGATATGTATTGGAGAATCGCCGGCGCTCTCTTTCGTGAGACTCCATGTTTTACAAGTACCAGTCTGAAATGAAAATACTTTTTTCTTGATGGGAGAGGGTGTGGTATAGAAAAGGGGGGTAATACCCACTTGGAACCATTGGCAGTGCAGTGCTCTAAGGGGTACATGAAAGCTTGCAGAGATGTTCTCTCTCGAAATAAGCAAGTGATAAAACTGAACCGTGTCTAATGCTTTTGACTCCTCTGAGACTTGCATACCGAGCGAACATCTCTTCTTGCTAGCAGGCAGAATATTCCGTAGAGAATCTGGAATATAACGCGGTCACTCAGCAGCAGCAACAGCAGCAGCATCTGAACAAACAGAAAAAAATATCAATTATGAAACGCCTACAGTAGTCCCCCCATCCCGACCACCCCGACCAACCCGAGAAAGCATCAAGCATCATGTCTCCCATATTCTCACCATTTCATACCCCATCCCACCATCCCACCACCCCAGTCCCAGTCCTACCGAACCAGTGTGTCATGACTTCTTCTTTTTCACACACACACACATACCCTCTCTCTACATATATCTATGGCATGGTATATCATACCCATCTCCCAGCCACCCTCATTAACCTCTTATTCTCCTCACTTCTTCCTTGAACCTTCACAAAGACACTAAATCTTATAAACCAGCTCCCCATCAGAGAACCTAAAACAACTCCGTTAGCCTCACCAATCTCTCAGGATATGGTAATGGTGTACTCACATAATCTGATTCCTTGTCGTCATCTCCTTCAGCGCCAGGATAGCCTCCTCCCGACTAAACACCGTCCCTCCCGTCCTGCTAACCCGGCTATTCACCGCATTGATAAGCTCCTCCAGCTCGGCCGCATCATCCTCGAACAGCGATGTATTCAACAGCTGTCCCAGCGCGCGCCGGAAGACTTCGAGGCGCTGTTCAGTCAGCTGCTGCTCCTCCTCCTCCTCTTCTTCATCTTCTTCATCGTCGTCATCGACATTCATAGCCGCCGTCCCGCTCGCAAGACTCTCATCCGCTTCTTCGTCGTCTTGAGGGGACCGCCGCTGCTGTCTCCGACTTCCCGACGCGCGCGACTGTGTCTGCGTCTGCGACTGCGTCGACTCCAGCTGCGAAGCCGGAATCGACGACGCAAACGACGGCTGTTGCGAACTAGTAGTAGTCCCCGTCGACCTTGTCGACCGTCTCGGCGTGGCATCGTAGATATTTCCTTCGTCGTTACGATGCCCATTCGGCTCCGGCGTCCCCTGCGCTGGCGTCCCGTTCGCCCTGCGCCTCCCATTCGCCGTACCACGCTGACTACCACGAGCAGCAGCAGCGTTCGTCCTCGCGGTACTCCCCCTCGCCGTAGTAGTCGCATCCCCATCGTCATCATCCTCATCATCGTCCTCGTCGTCTGAGCTATCATCACTACTAGCAAAATCAACCGGCCGCGTCGTCTTGCGCCTCTTCTTCCGCGACTCGTCCTGCAGGACCTCCTTGAACAGCGCAAACCTCAAAATCGACTCGGCAGCCGCCGCATCCCGCTCCTCCACGCGGTTCGACAGCCGCGCCTTGGCGTGCGCCGTCGCCAGACGGATCAACGTCTCGAGCGTGCGCACCGTCATGGGACTCGTCTTGCGCTGGTTGCTCTCCATATCGTCGTTGCGCAGCCCGACGTAGATGTCCGCGATGCGGTCCGACGCCTCCTGCGTGAGCACCGGCTTGATGCGCGTCTTGGCGTACTGGATGTACTTCTTCATGAACGGGATGCTCAGCACCTCGGGCTTCTTGTTCGCGCCGCGCCCGGTCCCGCGCACGCCGGCGTGCAGCATCGCGTCGAACTTCTCGTACACGTCCGTCGGCCGGTTCGGGTCCGCCTGCTCCTTGAGCGCGACGTTCAACGCCTGGCCCGCGTTCTCGCGCACCGGCGCGCCCTCCTCGGTCCCCGGCTGGCGGTAGCGGTGCATCCGCAGCACGTGCTCCGACACCTGTCTGTCGCGCGTGTCCTCAATGTCGTCCGTGACGACGAACAACAAGTCGAAACGCGAGAGCAGCGAGTCGGGCAGCGCGATGTTCTTGTGCGGGTCCTTGTGCGTGTCGTACTGCCCAAAGATGGGATTCGCCGCCGCCACGACGCTGCACCGCGCGTTCAGCGACGTGTGGATGCCGGCCTTGGCGATGGTGACGGTCTGCTGCTCCATGACCTCGTGGATCGCGACCCGGTCGATGTCGGACATCTTGTCGAACTCGTCGATGCACACGACGCCGCGGTCGGCCATGACCATGGCGCCCGCTTCCAGCCTGCGCTCGCCCGTTTCCTTGTCCGAAGTCACGGCGGCCGTCAGACCGACGCCCGACGAGCCGCGGCCCGTGGTCGCGATGGCCAGCGGCGCCGTGTTGAGCACAAATCGTAAAAGCTGCGACTTGGCCGTCGACGGATCGCCAACCATCAGGATGTTGATGTCGCCGCGCAGGTGCGTGCCGTTCTCGAGGTTCTTCTCCATGCCGCCCAGCAGCATAAGCAGGATGGCCTTCTTGATGTAGTCATGCCCATAAATGCTCGGCGCGAGCGACTGCGACAGCAGCTCGAACAGCTTGGGCTTCTTAGCGATCTTGTTGATGTTGCGGATGTCCGTGTCGGTGATGGTCGCCGTCGCCACGCCTCCGCCGGACTTGGACGCCAAGAGCACAATGTTGTTGGCCAGCAGCACCGTCTTGAAGTTGGCCGAGTTGTGGTTCGTGTTCCTGTTGCCCAGCGTCCGGAAGATGCCGACCAGCTGCACGCGGTCGCCCGGTTTGACGCGGTCGACCAGGTCGTCGTCCAGGATCACGTCGACGCCGCGGGGCAGCTGGCCGGCGGGTGCCCTTTCGGGCATCTCCTGGATCGACACCGTCTGGTGGTCGCGGTACGTGCTGAGGCCGTACTCGGTCGTCAGCGGGTTGCCTTTCTCGTCCTCGTTGGGATACACGCTGCTGGTGGTCTGGCCGGCCGTCATGGTCTGGTCCTTGTATTCTTTGAACCAGAAGTCGCCCGTTGCCTCGGCGTAGTGCACGCTCTTGACCACCTTGGGCCGGATCAGCGAGCAGCGCGTGACGATGCCCTCGATCGACACCATGGTGTTGAGGTGCTGCGACGACAGCGTGCGCGGGTTGCAGGCGTGCAGGCCGAAGGAGCCAGCCCAGGCGCAGTAGTAGAGCACGTCGGGGTCGGTCTGGTCCGGACGGGCCTGCGGGATCGTCTTGACGATTTCTTTGAGCGCGTGGTTGAAGGCCATGGACCAGTCGAAGGGCTCGGTGAGCAGGCCCTCGGCCATTTCTGGGTTGTGGTCGCGCACATGGTCGAGGTTGACTACCAGTCTGCGCTGGTTCTTCTGGAGCATCAAGATGATGTCTGGTCGGTAGCTGCGCACATGTTGGTCGTCTGAGCAGTCAGCATTGTTTTTCCTGGAAGGAAGCAGAAAACATACGGGGATCGAGAAATTCTTCGGCCAGCCGCACCCGATTCCGCGTCGCCTCGTCGCGACGGAAGAGCAGCTCGTCCATGGCGCCTTGGTATGCTGAGAAAAAGTATTGCACCGAGTCGACTCAGGGGCGTTACTGGGAGAAAGACAAGTTGTGATGGTCAGTATGGTGTTTGCGAGGGGTGCAGGATTGGGCGGTGGAGGAAACGCGACCGCGGCGCGAGTCGCGTCAACACGTCCCGCCCCTGACAGGGGGTTTAATTGAGTGGTGGGAGGGGTATTGATGCCTGAGGCCACAACGCCAACAAAACTTGGCTCTCTTGTCATCAACTTCTCGTACAGATGATACGTCCAATCATGATGGATTTGATGGATTATCCCTTCGTGGTCTAGACCAACAGCCACTGGCTCCCACCAAGCTCTCGATCCTTCAGATGACTCCATACCCACATCCCCAACCTGGATCAAATACGGCAACAACCTTCGAAGGCCTTGTGCTTCAACGACATACGGTCACCGAGATGTTGAGCGCCATCGACCTGCTTGAGCCAACGTGCAGACAAATCCGGACGCATCGCCATCACCCCCGGAGCCAATACTAGCTGCCCTCGCAACACAGAACAGATAACGACATGTGATGAAATTATTCGAATACTATCTCGATCGCACACTGCTTGTCTTCCGGGGAGTTCGCCGGTTTGTCCGAGTAGTCGCCCTCGACTCGATCCTGCGGCTTGGTCTGCAACTGGCACAGTGAGGCGTTGAGCTCGACCACATCCAACATCGCCATTGGCCAATCAACCTGACCTTGACTCGCGATGCAGACGGACAATACCCTCAACTCTAAAGAAATCATGACATGTCGCCCCGTGTGCAGTTGCGTCCATCCGCACCTGTCAGCTGCTCACTTTTGCTCACATGTCATGCTTGTTGACCTTCCGATCAAGGGAGATTGCTACTAACATCCCGTCAACCGTCAATGTTTGTCTCACAGCCTTGCTGTTGTTTCCAACTGAGCCATAACAACCTGCCGTGCGGTACCGGGACGTTGGTAGATGCGGTAGCTAATTGGCCTCTGTCGCCCAGTATGTCCGTCATGACCAATCCCCGTCGGCTGCTTGACTGCCTTGAGCAACGCAAGCGAAAGCTCATCGCACTGTGCAAGACGCGTCTGGTGTAGACCCATTGGCTACCGGCAGACCGGCAACCCTCTTGCAATGTTACACTTGACGATGCAGGAGGGCAGAAGCGGGAAGCCCTTTCGCATTGATGTGGCGTGCATCATGGCAGCTGCCGGCCCAGACATTCCGGGTAGCTTTTCCTGATCGACAACGCCCGACCTTACCTCCATCCAAGCCGGCCTTCGGAGCCGCGGGTCGGCCATCATCTCCGAGGGCCCTGGCCGGAAATGGACCGGCCCGGCAT